TCGACCATGCGCGTCGCAGCCACCACACCAGCAGGGCTCCGAGTTACAATCCCCTAACCTCTCTAAAGCCCTCTCACCTTTCCCCTTCCCTCCATTTTGGCCCTTAGAATGGACACAGGGCATGGGGCCAGGCTGTCCCGCCACACTCTCAAAAGGGAAGGAAGGGCTCGCTCGAAATTGAAGTTTTATTCTAAGGGCCCAGCCCAACGCGAATCCTTCCGGTCCCATCCTTTTTCCCCATTCTCTGACCTCGGGGTAGGAAGGCCCTTCTTGGAGAAGAAATAATTTCTCAGGCTGAGTAAGACAACAGCAGGTATGATGTACCATGCATGCTATACACACACTCGGAAACCCAGGGAAGGGAGTGAAGCCCAGAGACTAAGGCACCGCGAGGACTCGGCAGCCCAGAGTACCAAAGAATACAAAAAGGAGTGCAGTGTGGGAACACGACTCATTCTTGCACCAGGTAACTTTCAGAAGCCTGGGCTTTTGTTCTGTGTTGCTTTGGGGAAGGAGCCCTGGGGCATGGTGGTTTAGAGTTGGGCTGCCAATGGCTAGGTAGCAATTCAAATCCACCAGCCACCCTACAGGAGAAGGAGAAGGTGTTCTGCCTTGGGAACCCAACAGGGCAGTTCGACTCTGAGCAGCATTGGTCAGCAATGAGCAATTGACAGAACTGGTCTGTCCTGGCAGAATCGTCTCCCTGGCAGTATGTTTGTCTTTTGAGTTTACAAGCCATGTAAGGATCCCTGGTGACTCGGTAGGGTACCCGTTGGACTACCAGCTGCAAGGGAAGGGAAGGGCAGCAGCTCAAACCCCCCAGCGGCTCCCTAGGAGAAATAGGAGGCCGTCTTTTCCTGTACAGATTTTAAAAACCTCAGAAACACTCTATAGGGTCGCGAGGCATCAGCATTAACTCGATGGCAGTGGGTAGTAGGTAGGTAAGATGGCAGGAACCACATGCTTTTCAAACATTTCCTCATGAAGACCTTTCAGCTCTCTAAGAAGTAACAAACAGTACACTGTTTTACTAGGCAGGCATTTCGGGCTTAAAGAGAAAGTCTGCACTGTGCCTAAGGTATTTCAGTGGTGGTGCTGGGAGATGAATTGAGACCAGTGTACTGCGCTCTTCAGTGTATCACAGAAGAGAAAGAGGAGAGGAGAGGTCAGTTGGTGAGAGCCAAAACCAGCAGGCTTACTGAGCAGAGACCAGACCAATACTGCACACACTACACACCCTCATATCCATGCGAGGCAGGAGGCAGTCCTTTCACCAAGCAATTTCCGTAACCTGTCCCTATGGGCAGGCGAGACCCAAGTGAAACTGAGCTAGGGTTTGGCCCAGGTAAGGTCTTGCAGCTCTCTGCTGCCTTTTTTCACTGGTTCCTCCTCTGTCTTAGGGGTTAAAGGGCTCCTTGAGCTTGGGGTGATGGGTGAGAGACAGGCTGTTACAGGTGATGGAAAATATAAGGGATCATTAAGAACACCCCTAGTGAAATTCTGGGTGCCTTGCAAGGAATACCCTGTTTAATATCCAATCACAGTGGCTTAATGGACGACTGGGTTAGTCCCTAACAACACCAACAGTATTCCAGGGGCCTACCAGGAAGTACAAGGACCCTGTTCTGGTTTTTCAGATGAGGTCACAGAGATTCTACCAGAGACCCAAGAAAGGCAAGAAGGGATAAGTGCCAGTGGTATATCGGTAGCATAGGGAAGGTATGCCAAACACATGCAGAAAAACACGGAAGTTCCCTGCTCTGGTGCAGTAGGCTGGCTGCAGTTTTGTACTTTAAATGAGGCCTAATTTATCTATAAGGCAACTAAGTTGTTTGAGAGCTGAACAGAATAGCCTGGAGTTCAAGGCCAGGAGGGATAGGACAAATCCACCCAGGGAAAAGACACAAGGATTACAGAAAACAAAATGGTCTGAAGAAAGAGGAAGTACTCACCATTCTACCGTGGTGAGGGTGCTGGCTGCCTGCTTCTCACTGTAAGGAGACAGAGGATTATAAGGGTAAGAAACACCTTTAGCATCACCACGGAACCAACAAATGCCACACATCTAGCCCTGAACTTCTCGCCAACTCATATTCTCTTCCCAGGGAAGCCAGCCCAAGCCACCAGGTCAGAGAGAGGCAATGGGTGCTACAAACAGAGAAGGCAACAAGTGATCTTGCAAGGCATCGAGTTCTAGAGCCTCAATGTTCTAGAGCAAGAATGAGTGCGATCCAAGATCATTCAACAGAAGTGAGTCCTGGTTCCTAGACCCCGAAATAAAATACTTCAAAACCTGTTCTTTGTGGGAGAGCAAAAAATAAATGGCCAAACTTGAAGAGTCGGCGGCTGCCTAACCACGTTTGCTTCTGGCCCTGGTTGGGGCATGAATCGACAGGAATGCTGTGCCAGTCTCTGAGTCTGGGAGTAGCACCACCTGACCTGTTTACTAGGGGCCAGAGTCCAGAACAGAGGGCAGAAGGGAGGTGATCACAGCCTGCTATCAGAGGACAGCAGGGCTGAACAGGCCCTGCTGAGTAGACCTAACACCAAGTGCAGTGGAGGTTATGGGGAGGCCACACATTTAACTAGTGGGGGCAGCCTGGGCCTGGGAGTCAGCACTTGTCAATGGGGTCCTGGCATCAGAGGTTCCAGCACTGTCTGGTTAGCACTGGAATGCTAACTGAAAGGAGGGCGGCTCAAACCCAACTGGTCCTCGAGAGAAAGATGAATATCTGTTCTCATAAAGATTTACTGCCTTGAAAGCGGCCCGATGGCAGTGAGGGAGGGAACCAGGCCCGGGTTTCAAGCCTGCTAGCCGAACTCCGTTAAGATGCAGCAGGGTATCACGAGGTTTGGGAGATACAAGCCTCCACCTGTAGCCCTGCCCTCCTGTCCCATCACTCGACCTACTTCCCCAGCCCACCCTTGCTAGGAAGCAGCAAGCTAGAGAGGTGCTGCCTCGCCGCCAACTGACACGCAGCCTCACGGAGAGGACGGCGGGAAGGAGGGGCAAAGGACCAGGTCTGGCAGGCCCAGAGTTCCCACATCTAAGGGATATGGTCCCGGGGATGGGGGGGGGGACGGGCCAGATTGGCAAGGGAGCCCAGGTGCCCAGGTTCTCGGGGCGGAGCCTACAGGCTCAGAGGCGGAGCCCCGAATGACAGAAGGCGGGATTCGGGAAAGCTCGAGGGGGCCGGGGCGGGGCCAGGCTGGACGCGGTGGCTGCGGTTTCCAGGCTGGCAGTGCACGGGGCACGGTGACTCACCCAGGCGGCGTTCGCCCGACCCTCCGAGGCCGCGCTCTCACCACTTCCGTCTCCCGCTGCTGCTGAGGCCGCGCAGCCCCGACCCCACCACGGTGCCCCTCTCCCCAGCCAATCGCACCTCGGGCCTGTGCGCGTCCTGGCCAATAGCCACCGCAGGTCCCGCCCCGCCCCACCGCGCAGCTGCCGCCCTCACACTTCACGCCGCTCATTGGGCAAGACGAGCAGACGCCCTCCCAGCCTTCAGCGTATCCGGTGCCAGAAGACGGGACGCTACCTGGAGGGAGGAGGCGCGGCGTAGGAGGCGAGGCGCGGCCAATGGGAAATCACAGCGCGTCCCTGCGGCAGCCAATTGGAAAACACTAGAGGGGGCTGCCGACGAAGGCTCCCGGGGCCGGAAGTGGAGGTCTGTCGCCTGCTGGTACCGTAATGAGGGGCGTGGCCTGGTAGGGGCGCAGGTCTTTTACAACCACTTCCGGTGGCGATCTTGCTGTGGATTGCTTCGAGAGTGGGTCCTTGGTGTCCAGCATTTCCCGCTTGGTTTCGTCGCGCTCCTCCGGCCCCAAAGCCAGACCGCGAGACCCGACCGCTAAGACTTGGAGGAAGAGTAAGGCAGAACGAGATTCGGCTTCACCTTCCTCGACCTGCGGCGCTGGAATTCCCCATCTCTAGACTGAATCGTCTAGCCCTCACCTCTTAGCAGCGAACCGGCACGAGCCCTTCATGGCCTGCAAGGTGCCGCCAACCCCGAGTAAAGATCTCTCGGCCAAGAGTTAGGAAACGGGGCCGAAGCACGGCTGCGGCCCCGTCTGGCAATGGGAAAGACTGAAGGCCCAGCTCGGTGTCCTTCCAGAGGCGGCCGCTGGAGGGCGCCACGGCCCTGTGAAGTCACCAACGCTCCGCCCTGGAAAGATGGCCTCAGGCTTAACACCCCGAAATGAGAACCATTCCAGCCCCGGGATGCGTCCAAGGACTCTGACACGAGCCCCCGGGGCTAAAGTGTGCTCACCTGTTTCTAGCGTTTTGAAACTTTGAGTTCTACGAAAACATAAACCTTGCTTGTTATTACTTTAGCTCCGGGGTCCAGAACAGTATGCA